AAAAAAGTAGAGTTAAGTGTCATCAATAGTCGACTGCAAAAAAAAATACTCAGGTAAATACTTTATTTCTTGTTTCATGATTATTCTTTTTTTATTATTATAAAAGTAACTAAAATGTAAAAATAGGGATTTCTTTAGGTTAGTTAAGGTTAGATTAGGTAAAATAAAAAATAATAATAATATAATAAAAATATTTCACAAGGCTCACATGCGAGCAGCTCGGAGTAGCTCATGGGTAAAGTAATTTGATAGCATAACATGGTCTGCACATTCCTCAAGTGATTTACAACTTATAATGGGGCAAATAGTAGTTAGACACAATTCAAAGGGCAATAAAATAATAAAATTTAATTATAAATAGATGTATACTGTTAAGAGTTTAAAGCTACTTAGGATAAACGAATGTACTTTCATGTTACATTTGAAGTCATTCTAGAAAGAAAAAAGGTTAATTTAGATTTATTTTGATATTTTTGTATTTATTTGGTGGTTATGAGGTCAGTCAAATTGACCAACTGCAAATAGAGTTAGAGCAGAGAAAATAACAGATAAAATATAAAATTTTACTGAAAAGAAACAACTGAAGTGTATTTCGGAGGTTTTAGAAATTTTTGAGATGAAGAAAAGTATTTTAGTCTTAATATCAAAATCACTTTGCACACAGACTATTCAAAACAAATACTTGATATATTCACGGACAAATCTTTTTTTGTATGTGAAAGACTTATGTTTACTGAAAGACTGCTAAATTTCGTGAACATATACAAACTATATTAAAAGTTAGTAGTATCAAATTTATAAAGACTTTGAACGAGTACAAAGAGGTCATGTGGCTGGTAAAATTGATCAAGCCCATATTAAGAGAGTTAACAGCTACAAAATTAGAGAGAGTGATAGGTATGATAGTCGTGATAATGTCACTCCTATTGGTGGAGGGTTGCTGCACAATAATTTACATGTTAGTATTGAGATAAGTGAGAGTATCTGGACTATTGACAAGCAAAAACAGAGGGCAGTATAAGTCATGAAAGCTCTTTGTGAGAGGGGTGAGATGTAATCTCAGAAATCTGTTCTATTACTTAACCTAGAAATTTCCAACAAAAGCATCTGGCTGTTTTAATCTATAAATTCTTAGTTAAACAATTTCAAATACAATAATTAAAACACCATATTACTAAAAGATTGGAAATAATGAATATTCCCACCAAATCACGCCAGTCTTCTCTGTTGTGTTACATATTTTATGCATTAAATATTGTTGTAAGATATATCTTTAAAGTTGCAAATATAATTTAAGCAGCTGAGCAAGATTATTTTAAAACTAGGGCAAAACATGCTCCTTGTCAATCACAGAAAAACCTTAGTCAAAGTTTGTTACTAATCTATAAGAAACAGTGTGGGGACCAAAAATGTTAAGTTCAAAAAAATGCATTAAAACCTATACACAAACATCATGCTATTACAACAAACAAAAAATGGTACCTGCATAATAAAAATTAATAATTTTTTAAGAAACATGAAGACCGTGAAAGATATAAAATTTAAACATTTTACCAACAAAAGTTGTTAATGTAACTTCTTAGTATATATTGTGCTGAACAAATGTATATGCATATTCATAGCAAGAAAGCAATTCACATGTATACCCTTTTTAATTACAATGAAGTTGAATAACAAAAATGACGATTGAGAACTAATTTACAGCTCACACTTAACACTATCTCAATTCTTAGCTCTATGTCACTAAACTCTTGTTCATGAGAAAGAGTATGAAAGAAATCACATATGTAGAACTTAACTATTTAGCTATAATGTAATCTCATTTCCATATCTTTCACAACTCATAAACTTTTATGTATTTTGAATATTTCACTTCAAGCTTATGGCTATGTTTGATTTAAAAACTTGAAGCAAGAGTACTGCACTTTTACATATACGCTTATACAATAAAAATAATTTGCCAGTGCTCTAGTAAGAAATATTTGTCTTACTAGAATTTTAATCAGATAATTTTATCTTAATGTTTTCTCTCTTATAATAAGGAAGAGGTCATTTTAAATAACATTTATTTTTATGTCACTTCTTAAAGAAGATAATATGATATAATACTTAAAAAAAACAATTGATCCATATTCTGAAACCATAAGTTTCACCCTCCAAATACAAGGTTAAATTCTTCCATCAAGAATATTACTGAATATTATATACCTTTCTGGTTGCAATGATGCAAGTGTTTTGTTCTGGTTATTTAGATGTAGAACTACAGCATCACTGGGATCTTCTCGTCTGATGGGAAAAACAATTTATATATGTATATATATTATATATACTTTGAGAAAAATCACCTTTAAAAAACTATGGTAGTAATTTATTTACTTGGCGATGTTTCAAGCAATCACTCTTTTTCAAGCCAGAAACGAGCCTATCGATTAATGACAGTAACAAAAACATTTTGAAATGAAACAATACATAAAAACAGAATGTAATAAGAGATATAACTATGAGAATTAAACAATACAGTAAAAACAATAAAATAAAGCTATGATTAAAAAACAATATTAAAAATTATTAGAAATTTAGAACAACTTTAACTTAAACATTTTAAGATAATATAAGAAGGGTATTTAAAAAATATATAAAAAAGCTGAACTGTTCATTAATACCCAAAGGACTTAAACAATCCAAATTAAAAATTATTTCTTTTTCGATTATGGTTCTCTTACTGGTGTTGGTAAGTAAGGTAAGTACTTTAAAGTTCTCAAGAGAATGATCAGCTTTGTTGAAGTGCCAAACTACAGGTTTATCTTGATCTTTAACCAAGATGCCACGTAAGTCTTCTCACATTTGCTCAGCAAGACTTAAGCTTGGTTCTCCTACAGAGGTTTGGTCACAGTTGTTACAAATAATACAATAAACTACCTGGGGTATCTTGACAACAGAAGTAGGTGGTGTGTTCATTGTCAGATTGTCATAACTAATGTATGGTGATTTTCTTACATTTTGAGGAAAGTAAGAATCTCTCATCCTATACCCTGAGTTACGATTTGCAAGTTTCTCGGATTTTAAATTCTTCATTGAGTTGTAATGTAGAGAATTCAATTCACGGACTTTCTTATGAATGTTACGTGCAATAGCTTGATCAGTAGATTCGTACAATCATGTGGAGAGGGGTAATTGAATTCGTTACGTATCACAATTTATTCCGGTGCTGATAGCACAGTTCAAATGAAAAATTTTCTCCTTTGGAACAAAATGTCCTTAATGTATCTCGTATCAAATCAATAGAACATTTGGTCAGTCTATTCTCTATCATAGCTATATCATGTGGAGAGGGGTAATTGAATTTGTTACATATTACAATTTATTCCGGATGAGCCTCCAATTTATTATGTAACATATTATAATTTTTAATAGTCTGAAACTGACTGAAATGTTACTTTAGATTTAGAAATTAAATGTTGATACGTATCCAATTTATGACACTTGCCAACAAGATTTATACATGCAGTATTTTTAATATAAATATATTTAGTATACATAAAATAACATAATCTATAATAATGGTTATTGCAAATAATGATCTACGTACAAATGTTTTATAAACTTACAAATATTTAGTCCTCTATCTAGTCTGGAATTTCTTTGATATCTTATCGAGGGTTCATGATGGGTGAAATAATTTTGAGTAGATGTGGATACAATTCATTAAACAGGCAGCTAGCTAGCTCTGTGTTCTTCAGTTTTTGCCAGCCACATGCCAATTTATCCACTGCTGAAGTTATATAATGTTTTCGTAAAAATACTAATGTCCAATGTGAATCCTCTGATGTTAAATGGATTGTAATATTCGAATTCTGTAAATGTTCCTGGCTAAGTATCTGAAGTTCCCGATTAATAAGCATTATATCAATCACAGTTATAGCTTTCGAGGTTTATAGCACACCAATAATATATAATGTCTTTTGGCATGGTGCATTTATAATTTTCTACAATTTTCATGAATAGGCAGGAATTTCACAACACTGATTTAACAGTATAAGTTATGTATATTTTAAATATAAACTTAACTCTTCCAGCTTGTAATGATTTTGTGCTTGTTATAGTTTTCATGCTATAACTTTTAAATTAGTAAGGGAATGTTAACGAAATTTGGCAGATTATCAGTAAATATTACAATGTTTTCAGATAACAAAATATCTGATTTTTTTTATTACGTCTTAAGGTTTGTAGAGCAATGTTTCTTTCATGCCTTTTTTTTTCACATTTTGCCTATCTATCATGCAAAGTAATTTTCATTCTAAGATTAAAAATATTTTTATGCAGAAGATTTTGAAATTTCACATATGAAATCTTTATAATGTCCGGATAGTTATCAAATATTTCTTATGAAAAAACTTTATATTCTATTTGTTATTTTCAGTAATTAATCTCTGTACAGGTTTGGTAGATTTGACCAATCTCACACCCACCATAAAAAATTAGGAAATAAACATAAATTATGCCTCTTTCATTCTAGGATGAACACAAATTATAACATGAAAACAAATGTTTAGACGAAATAGCTTAAATCTCATAACATTATACATTTATTATTTTTATTATATTGATCTTTCACCATTCCTGGCTAACAATACAGAAGTTACAATGATGTGGGTCATGTGCACTCATGTTACCATATCATATAACATACAACTGACCTTTGGTCTGTACAAAGTAACTTGTCTTGACTGTGTTTTAGTCGACTAGTATTTTGTAAAATACAGTTACATTTCAATTATTATACATTATATAGATTATTGCTATTTTGAAATAAGTTCTTAAAGTTATTTTTCCTAAAACATAGAACAATAAATAAAGAAGTAAAGCAAAGAATTATATCTTCTAGTTACAACTTTTGTACTCTGTTGCTACTTGACATATGTTGCTAAGCCTTTAAAAATTTTGCCATGGAGAATATGAAATTTTCTTTTTTTAGGTTTTATATACATTTGAAAAACTAAAAAATTATAATTTATTACATCAATACCATAGAATTCTACTATAATTTATCAAGCTTAGTAACTTAGCTTTATTTGGGTCTAAAAAAATATGAAATTTAGAGCAGACTAAAGACACAACCTACCTCATTGAAATCTTGATTTAAAAGAAAGAAATGATGCTAGGTACGTTAGAAAGGCTTAGAAAACTACTGGGGAGACTTTCTGAGCATTCAATTGGTTATTCACATGTTATATATAGAAGTAAGTGTATATAAGGGAGCATTTTCAAAAATGGAATGAGGTGGGCAGGGGGTTAGTGTGTTTGATTCAGTACGAGTGATATCTGAGCAAATAGAAAAGATAAGAGATTCTTATTTTAAATTGTAGCTTGTAAATATCGGTAATTTGAAATCCTAATTCATACGAAATTATAGACTTTGTATTTTGACATCACAAACATTATACATATACACATAAACTTATCGATTTGATGTATATTGCTAAGCCTTTAAAAATTTTGCACATGGAGGATATGAAACAAATAGTTTCATATACTTTTATACACAGCCTACCTCATTGAAATCTTGATTGAAAAGAAAGAAATGATGCTAGATACGTTAGAAAGACTTAGAAAACTACTAGGGAGACATTATGTAACATTTATGCTTAAACTTTAGCAAGACCATAACAATGGTCTTGCTTAAGCCTTTAAAACTTTTGCACATGGAGGATATGTTATATGTGATTCATAAGATATTGAGTGATCAATTGGTAGTTTGAGTTCCTAATTCATACAAAACTGTAAACTTTGTATTTTGACATCACAAACATCTAATTTCAACCAGTGCTGCTTCACCATACCACCTGACACACAAAAATCGATATTTAGCTGTATTTTTTAATACTTACTTTTAAATTAAGAAATTAAATAACATATAATACTAAATTTTGAATTATAATCAACAATTTGATACCAAACTTATTGACATAAATTCATAAGATAGTAGTTCAATAACATTTTGAATGCAAGTCAACAAATGCAATGACATGGCCTTTGACACATGGCCCATCATGATAGGGTTAAATATAACCTACATACTAATAATAAATGTCCAAATTTAGCTTTCCAGAACTTTAGTTTAAATCATATCAGTAATTCTAACACCAACAATGTAAACAATTCAAAACTTCCAACTACATGCACCCAACCTCACTTCAACAACCAACACCCTCCTACTTCCACTGATCATCAACACATTCCCCTTAAGCTTACATATCACCCATTCAACATACAATTAACATGTATATTGTTTGACAACTTCCACGTCATAACACAGGACAATACAATTGGTCACATGTTTTCTAAAAAAAACTGTAATTTCTTATAAATGAGACACCAACATTGAAGATTTAATCGTCCATAGTCAACTTCCGAACAACATACAACTATCATATGCTACTCAAGTTGGTATGTACAGTTGTCAGAGGAGCAGGTGCAAAAAATTGCCCTTACATTGATCATAGAATATCTCTTAGAGGCCTTAAATCGATGTATTCTATGAATAACCATTTCACCTGTATATCTAAAGAGTTTATTATATATTTGTAACAGCTGTGACCAACTCTATGTAGGAGAAACCAGCTGAATGCTCACTGAATGTACATGAGAACACTTGCGTAGCATTTTGATTAAAGGTCAAGGAAAACCTGTAGCTCAGCACTTTAACAAAGCAGATTCTCTTGAGCATTTTAAAGTACTTGCCTTACTTCATGCCCCCTCCAACACCAATAAAAGAACTACAGTCAAAAAAAGAAATATTGGGTTTGTTTAAGTCCTTTGGGTCTTAACCAACAATTAAGCTTTTTTATAATTTTTTTAAATACCCATCTTTCAATATTTCTATATTCAATCACCTTCACATTTTTCTACTTACACATACATGTATACAAATGACAGTGTACAGATGTATACGCATAAAAGAATGCATGTGTACAGATGTAAAAATGAAATGCCGAGATATATCTAATGCTGGCATTTCGATATAAAAGTATGCAGATACACTGGTTTGAAAATACAGAAATATAGATTTCAAAATCTCAGGGTCAAAAACTTAATGTTTTTAGGTAAAAATAGGTAAATAAAGATGCAGGCGTATGGGTAAAAATAAACATATATAGGTATAATAATGTAGGTGTATAAACATAAAATAAAGATGCATAGTTAGAAAAGGCAGGTGTATACAAATGCAAATCCCTGACATTCATCTTTATTAAGTCGAAACATGAAAAATGTTTCTCTCATATTGTAATTGGTTGTTTTAATGCTTGAAAGATGCTGGTAAATAGCCACACGAAACAGATGTTACAGAAGACCACTTGGATCAAAGAGCAAACTTAAGCTCTCCATCTACCAAAACACCAACCAAAGTATCAAAACAATAGTAAATGTAACCTTTCAAAAAAGTTTAGAATAATTTAAACCAATAACACACACCACATGATCAGGCAAATAATTTTACTTACTAGTTTATGACTCCAACAAAGAAATAAAGAACAAGTCTGTGTTTAGGCTTCCAAAGTTTCAATCTTCTGTGTCTCTAACATTCAAATTCCCACTTAGAACCTTTTCATCCAAACAGTAAAAAAGTACTAATCACAGGCTGGTTTGAGAACTTTAATTGACTGCAACAGCCCCTTAAAAAATAAAAAATATCATAAACTGGGATTAATATAGAATTTTAGACAGAGCTTACCAGTGGAAAGAAAGAAAAATCAAAGAAGCTATCTTGATCAAACTACACCATCCTGCAATTAAAAGAAGCAATAGTTTATACATCAAAAACCTTTAGACAATCACAACTCAACAAACTCTATAGATATGATGGCATCACAGTCCTACTGACAACATCAGCCAATCATCACACCTGCTCAACCTACACAACTTGAAATGTTTTTGGTCCCAAAGCTCTCAATTCAACAGATGATTTTTAGCTTTTATTGACAATCACATTGATAATTTGCCTCCTTTCTTTTCCCAACAAAATC